GGGGGCGGCAGCCGCACACTGGAGCTCCGGGCTCCGTGCGGATGAAGGGGGCGAAGGTAACCCGCGAGAGTGGGACCCTCGTTACGTCTGCATGGAGCTGTATATACCGAGGGCAGACAAGGCTCCTTGGGTGAATCGGACCTCTTGTATTAGGCAGAGGTATATTTTTGTCACATTATGACAAATGAAATATACATTCATAGAGTGAAAATGCCCAGGGTTTGGGGTTTTTTCTTCTCATTTAGAGGCCCCTCCTATTGGGCTCGAGGGAGAAGGGGCTCCGGAGGGAGGTGGTGCTCTGCCCTACCCTGGGGGTCTTGAAGAGGAGGCTGGGCAAGCCCCTGGCTGCAGCCGTCGGACCCCAGCGCCCTTCCCTGCCCCGGGCAGGGGGTCGGGCTCGATGATCTGCTGATGTCCCTTCTGGCCCTAACGCCTTTGAAATCTCTATTGCAAGGCCCTAAACTGTAGCTTAAGTAGTTTAAGCCTAAATCCGGCACTGTGTGCACTCCCTGCCTGGGCATCCCCGGCTCCCGCAGGAGCATCCTTGCTGGGCACCACCAGCCATGGGCCAGCTCCACGGACACTGCAGGGCGGGGACCAGGCGAAGGGGAGGCAGTCCCCAGCTCCGGCCGGCTCTTGTCCTCACCCAAGGGGGCAAGCGCCATTAACCCAACCATGCTGCACAAGGCTGTTTGTCTGCCAGGGCCTGGTGCCAGAGCAGCAGCTTGCTGCCCACCTGCCAGATTTCAGGGGCAGCTGCCACCTGAGCCAGACTGGAGCAGAGCCCAGGGGAAAGCCTCCTTATCCCAGGACTAACCCCAATAAAGAGAGAGAGATTTCTGCCTTTACCCGGGAACTGCTCTCCCCTCTCCCACCTGAGAAAGGTACTGGTGCTCAGACCCAGGGTAGCTGTTAGGTGGCTGTTTGCTTTTCTCCACGGGCAGAGGGAGATGTATATGGCTAACATGTGCTGGCAGAGGCAAGGGATGCTATTAGTTCCTCCATTTCTGTCCCCACTCTCCCCAGCAGTGTGATGCCAGCAGTGCTGATCCTGCTGGGAAAGGCTTGTGCCAACTCACTAAGGCAACTGGTTTCTGCCCCATCCCAGACCAAAGGTGGAGTGGGAGCTCGGAGGGGTCCCTTCAAAGCAGCTGCACTTGGTGGAAAAGGCTGAGGCAGGCCCCAGCCTGGGGAGCTTTGACACTGCATAGCAAGGGGCCCAAGGGAGAGAAGGAGCCTAGGGGTGGCTCTCCCCCCTGCCTCTCTTCTGCACTCAGAGCAGAGCCTGCTGCAACACCTAGAGAGCAGGCGGGCACGACGGTGCTGACCCACAGACCAGTGATCCAGCCCGAGCCTCCCCCAGACGGTGTGGAAAGGAGGAAAGCAGGAGCAGCATTGAGAAAGAAATCAGATGCTACCTTCCCAGCTGGAAGCAGGAGCTTTCCTTATCCCATATATGATGGGGGCTGCATCTACACGAGATGCTGACTGTGCAGTACTTGCATACATAAGTACTAAATCACTGTGCAGTTCCTGGAGTCAGCACACAGTAGCGTTGCTGAATGGCTTTTAGGTAACGTCACCTGCGCAGTAGTGTCGCACCACACTTTGTGCCACGCAATGTTACTGTGTAGTAACGAGCTACCGTGCAGTCAGCGTCTCATGCAGACATGGCCAGGAAGTGTAATAATTGCCCCACAATATGCCTCTGAGAACGCCTCCCCCCCAGGTCTGCTTCATGCAGTCACGGAGGACTCCGGTGATCGTAGGACACAGCTTGCTCCATCTGGATGCCTTTGCACAGCAGGATTTGAGAAGGGGGTGACCTTTAGCACAGGAATAGATAGAGGATTGGTACTGGCCAGTGCGGTTTTAGTGACCTCATCAATAAAAATGGGACTGTTGGAAATTACACATCAGCTGGGAAAAGTAACAAAGTTAATACAACCGGCAGACTTTGGCCAGGCACAGGTAGCATGGGAACTGCACATTCTGATTTTATTGAGTGCAATAGCAACATGGCAGTGATGGACCAATATCTGCATAACTGACAAATCTCAAAAAAGAAAAAAAAAAAAGTTACCAGTGGGGAGCTATGATTCAAGGGGGGGGGGGAAGGGATCTCTCACGCTTTCTCAGGGATCAGGACAATGTGCTTTGACAGCGACCAGGGGTTAATATGAAATCAATTGTGGCAGATGGCAAATAATGAGAACAAAGTAGTTCAGAGCCCTCTGGCATAGGAGAGCATAGGAGACAGGCGAGAGCAGCCCCTGGGCACATTCTTACACCAGGGTGCCTTGCTGTGCAGTGTTGGAGCTCCCCAGTCTGGGACTTGGCTGGGGTGTTCCAGCCTTCTCCATCAGGTAAGACTGCTCATACAGGACCTCCATCAGAGGGCCCCAAGCGCTCTTGCCTTCCACCCTTTTGCTGAGTTAGGGCAGGAGCCAGCTGCCTTAGTGAATCACCTGGTGCACCCATTCAAACATAATGTCGTTAAAGGCAGCCCAATGCAAGGTTCATAAGTCCTGGAAAAAGAACTGCAGGCCATGCCTCCAGGCTGGCGCACTGGATTCTGCAAGGCAGCCACTCTGAAGAGGATGTAGGGATCCTGATGGGTGTACAACTCAATGTGAGAACCCAGAGCAAGGAAGCAGTCATGAGGAGGATGCTGCACGTGGCATTGATGATGTAGATATCAGGATGCCGCACCCCATTTGGGCATCTGTATTAAAAAGAGGTTTTGAAAAATTGGGGAGAGTGCAGAAAGAGACTATCGAGGCAATTTGATTTTCAACATATAAAAACCTTCCTGGTGGGAGAAGCAAGACACTAACGCTTTCTCCAACGTAGCTGCAAAGGCAGAAGGCAAGGTAGAGATGCACCTTATAGACTATCTGAATCAAAAAAGGCCAGAACAAGACCCAACGGCTGCAAGCTGAAGTCAGCCAAGTTCAAAGCTAGGATGAAGGCACCAGTGTCTAGCAGTGGGGGAATGAACTGTTGGAACAAACCACCCAGGGGAAGCACTGGCTCCTCCAGTCTTTGAGGCTTCAGAGCAGGACTGCATGGCTTTCTAAAACAGAGTTTCAGCTAAACATGCCCTTGGGCTCCATGCAGTGATAGCAGGACAAAACATAACAACATGCCAGCTTTCCCTGTGGAAGGAGCTTTGACAGACTCTTGTCTTTGCATTGCCAGGGTCACACTGGATGATCTAACGATCCCTTGTCTTGGAGAAGAGAGGAGAGAAATCCAAGATGAACATACGGCAACGCAAGGCGTTTTTTGCACGCACTGCTAAATCCAATGATGTTACCTCTATTATTCCTATCCACTCCAAAAGTGAAGCCATAGCTGGATTAACCCTGCCCGCTCCCAGTCCTGGATCACACACTGGGTGCAGGGGACAAAGCTCCCTGTAGTCTCTGGCACGAGATGGTATACATCTGCTGCCAGGCTCCTCTCTGTCTGAGCTTTGCTCTCAACCCCTGGGCAGCAGGAACCAGGGATGTTAAAGCATAAGCTGCAAGTTGATGGAAAAACAGAGTTTCTGTGCCAGCTGCTGGCAGGGAACCTTATGCTCCACAGCCCATCCTCATAGGCAGGAGTCCTCCAACCCCCAGCACGTGGAAGCTAGTGAAGATGTAATTTCATTGGGGTGGCACGTGGCCTGCAGAGCCAGGTTTCCCTTTATATGGAGCTCTGACAGGCTCTCATCTTTGCATGGGGGGGCCAAGATGGCAGGAAAACATTTCAAGTCAAATGAGGTAGACACGTCAGCCCCCGCACCCGTGACAGACCTGCTGCTCCAACACCAATTCATGCCTGATAGAGTAGAATTAAATGATGGAAGCCTCCAGTTTCAACAGGCGAGGAGCTGGCAACTGCTAGCTTAATGCCTTTGGCCAGAGGCAGAAAACATGCAGAAAGGAGGCTAATCATCACAGCAGAAGTACTGCTTTGACCACAAGGAGAAAACCTGTCCGTGTGGGAGATGGACCTCTCAACTGGTTGCCACAAAGTCCCACTGGACCTGGGAACCATCACAAATCTCCCCCTTTCTGCTTAAGAACACCAGGCACGGCTGTGACACACATGCTCCAAATACACACACTCCATGGTGTGGATGTTAAGCAAACAAATGCCAACCCACCCATGCAAAGCAGGCCTGAAATGCTGCCAAATCAGGGGGCTACTCATGCCCCTTGGTGCAATGTAGGGGAGAATCACACCCCTGGTGCATCCAAGGGACACAAAGGCATAGACATCTCAACATCTGCCTATGAAAAGCTCTGGATTAAAGAACTTTTCTCCCCCAACAACGGTGGTTACAAAACTCACAGGCGGTTCAGAGATATAAAGGATAAAAGTGATTCCACATTTGGAAGGCGGGGATGAGGCAGCAGCGCTCTGTGCCCTACCTCCCAAGTGATGAAGAGCAGGGCCCTGGAGGAACCCTGGCTGGAGCAGCCTGCACACAACATGCTCTTACTGCTGGCTCCCTGCCACCTCCTTCCCTCCCCTGGGGGTGGGCAGCCCCTGTGCTAGTGCATGCTATGGGAGGCTCCCCTGCTACCAGCCACCCATCCAGCATTCAGCTCCTGCACAATCCAAGACCACCTGCAGTCCCATCCACTGACTTGATCACACTCCAAACCTCACCCTCCTCGCTCCGTTAAAGTGAATCTCGTCACCCCCACCAACCTCTGCCCCAACCCAGGCTGTCCAGCAACACCTCTGTGCTCAAATTCATTCCCCACACTCCTCCCCATGACTGGATCAAACCCAGCAGGAGCAGGGGAGGAGGCTGCTAGTGCTACCTATGCTTCCAGTCAGCCAGTGCAGGGTCCGTCCGATTCCTCTTCCACCAGAAAGGCCAGAGTGAGAATAGGGGGAGCCTGGGAACCAGGTCACCCCACACTCTGCCCTTGCAGGGGCTGCCTGCCCGCCTGCTGAGTTGGGTACCAAGCGGATGCTGCAGGGCTGGAAGAGAGAGGATGGGAATGGGAGGGTCAGGCTGGGGACAAACCAGTGTTCTAGAAGGGCATTGGGAAGCAGCCCCAGGTAGCCCAGCAGGGAGAGGCAGCCATGGCAGGGGCAGGGGAGACCCATAGGTTGAACCCAAAGACTGTCAGGAGCAAATCATACCAGCTTCTGATAGAGCCTGGTGCCAAAGCCTCTGCAGCAAGCCAGGACCACACAAGCAGTGCCCTCTGCCAGGCAACCTCCTCCACAAACCTGGAGCCGGTCGTTCCCTGCTGAGACCCCAGGCACCGGCGAGAGGCCCTGCCAAGTCTCTTGGTGGGAGCCACGGCAGAGGAACCCGATGCAGAGGAACATTCTAAGATGTCCTTTTATTAAAATGTGCGTCACCGTTCTGCGTGGCGCCCTTTGCTGTTCTCCGGCTGCCGGGGCGTTGCTGGCGGCAGCCTCCGCGGCCTCAGCACTCGAGCCCAACTTGGGGGAACCGCTAGGTGGTCCGCGGCCTGCGGTTCCCACCCATGGCAATGTAGACGTCAATGGGGACGTTGGGCAGCGTCAGGCAGTGGCACCCTGGGCATCTTCTCAGTTGCCTGCACAATGAGAGAGAGTGGGGGTTGTGTGTGGTGGGGGGGGAAGGGGACCTGGTTGATTCCAGCCTCCCAGGAGGCTGGTGCAAGGTTGCTGACATGGTTATTTGGGTGCAGAGAAACATGGGCTGGCCTGGCAGTCTAGCAGCTGGCTCCCGCCAGGAGGGGCTGGACTGAGTCAGGGGACCAGAGCCCGCCTGGACGGGGCAGGGAGGCAGCAGCACTCGGCTCAGACAGGTCCTTTGTGCCCTTTTCCTCTGGCTTTATGCAGAGAAAGGCTTTATGGGATCTGGCATTGCATCCCTACACCAAGGATACCAGGATGGAGCAGCAGCCTGAGACCCAGCTGGAATATACTGCCCATGTCCATCAGTAGAACAAGGGGAAGACCCCTCTGATGCCCCTCTGAGGGGGGCCAGCATTGTCAAACTCAGCTCTCACAGGAAGGCGGATCCTGCACAGAGCCCCCATGTCTGAGGAGATAAAGGCCAAGGGGTTGGGTCAAGACCTGAGCCCACAGGGGTGCTGCCGGGGGCTGATATGGCAGCTCCCAGGCAGCTGCCTCAGCACAGCAGAGCCACCCACCAGTCAGAGCAGTCTCGCGAAGCCTGACCTGGGTCTCGTGCTCTGCGGCACAGCTTACTGAGAAGGCAGGGAGGCAAGGATGAGCGTGTGGCAGGGCCAGCCCACTTCTACAGAAACCTGGTTCCATTCACACTGTTGCTCTCTGCCCGGTGATGGAAACACCAGCCCAGTAGGGAAGGGACCTCTCCCACACAGCCATCCCAGCCCTCCTCCAGCTCATGTAATCCTTTTGCTAAGCCAGCAGCCCCTTACCTGCTCCTCATCACTGCACCCCCTGAGCCCTCTTGTCCGCCACCCACAGGCTCCAGACCAAAGTCCTGAAGCCCCAAAGTCAAGGGGACTCCACCAGGGGTGCATCTGCTCCCAGCACTAAGCTGTACTAAAGCAGGTACCCAGGGAGGACACACTACACAGTTAACCCTAACCCAGCCCTGCCCCTCTGGAGCTTCTCTCAGTGCCCAGTCTGCAGGAACCAGCCTGGGCTGTTAACATGGTTTGCCAGAGCTGGATCAGGCAACTCTTACAGCCAAGAGGCTGTCGCAGCCTGCCCAAGCTGGGCTGGCCTCCCCTGAACAGGAGCAGCTCCTATGGGGCTACAGCACCCTTTCTCTTTCTTTCTTTCCAGCCCCGAGATGTCTCTGTGGCCTCCTCCCCAGTGCTTGGGAAGAACACAGCTGGACCAAGGAGACACTGAAGAGCAGAGGGAAAGGGCTGAGACTCCTAGCCACCACGCCCCCCCCCCCCCCCCCCCCCAGCAGGATCAAAGTGGGCAATTGAAGAGATTAAAATAAGGCGACACCCTCCCTCTCCACAGACCAGAAGAGCCCAGGTTTCTGGAGTGGGGGAGAATGACCTAAACACAGTAGCTGCCCCTACAGCAACCAAGGGGATGGACCCAGCAGAAGCAGGACTGGCCCAGGCCAGAACCCAAGTGCTCACTGGGGGTCACTTCCCAGCCTCCAACCAAGAGAAGCTGCATCCCCTGCGCACAGGGAATGGCTGGCTCACATGTGCACTCAGCTTCAGGCCCCCCACCACAGCCCAGACCTTGCTGCAGTGTGCTCAGTGGCAACTGGCTCCTGGGTTTCTGGAACAGCTGCCAGGCTGGGGGAATCTCCTGCCTCGATGGGGAATCTCCGAGCTTGTGGGGTCTCCTGAGAGTTCATGTCCTAGCCCCAGACCTGTTTGATGACGAGAGAAGCAAGGTAAGCATGGGTGATTTGGCGGGGCCGGGAGCTCGGCGCCACCCACCCCTTCACCTCCCACACCCTTGTGAGACCCTGACACACTTTGCAGAGGCTTGGGAGGATTCCCAGGAGTACGCCTGGCAGTCTGGGAGCCTAGTGCAAAGGGCACGACGCGAGCAGGGCAAACAGGAGGCAGAGAGCCTTCTGCATTGTGACACGGGAGGCTCCTCTTACATCACAAGACAGCTGGGGCATGGCAGGCATGGCCTTCTCTGCATTCCCAAGCCCATAGCTCAAGGCCCAGGGCTCTTCCCTGGAGTCCCGGGCACAGACCAGGGCTGCTGTGTTGGGCACCATGCTGCCACACAGCAAAGCCACAGCTCCCACCCCAAAGAGCCTGCCCCAAGTGTAAGACCACAGCTGGTTGCAGACAGGGAGCACAAAGAAGCTGAGGCCATGTTGACTAGCAGGGTAGTCTCAGTGCTCCAGACTTACCTGGTCTTAATCTAGGGCTACTTTCAAGCCAGATCCCACCAGCCTGAGAAGGCAGATGGGAGCTGCCTCTGTTCCCCAAAAGCTGAGGAAAAGGTCTTACCTTGCAGATGCTGAGACCAAAGGAATCTTTGAGGTTGATCTGTATGTTCCCTCCTGGACGCCAGTCCCTGTGGGGATCCATCATGGGGTTTAGAAAGGGATCCCGTAAGCCCCTCACACTGGACAACTACTTGGTCTGGTAAACTAAGACGGAGCACAAACACAAAGCCTACTCCACAGGGCGTTTCCCTCACCAGTCCCCAAAAGCAGATCACAAAGTCAATAGGGCAGGAATCATCTTTGTTCCACCTCTGTGCAGTGACCAAGATGGGCAGCCCCTTGATAAAGGAGGCAGCGTAGCCTAATGAATAGCACAGGAGTGGGCAAAAGGCGGCCTGTGGGCCGGATGCAGCCCGCCAGGCCATTCTAGAAAATTAATATTTATCTGCCCCGGCTGCCTGTCATGCAGCCCTCGATGGCTTGCCAAAACTCAGTAAGCAGCCCTCTGCCCAAAATAATTGCCCACCCCTGGAATAGCACCTGGGCTCAATTTCTCACTGGGTCACTGGGCAAGTCACTTCCCTCTCTTTGTACCTCAGCTCCTCCATCCACAAAAGGTTGATACTAGCCTCTTTTGGCAAGCACCGAGACACACAGATGGGGAAGGTTCTGTAAGCACTAAGTGTTACTATGATAGAAGCAACCCATGGACACCCCTGCCTGTATCGGAACCATACAAGCATGGTGGGGAAGGAACCTCGAAAGGCCATTTCTAGCCCAGCCCCCCAGCTCAAGGCAGAACTGTCCCAGTCTAAATCACCCCAGACTCATGGTCATCAAACATGCACTTAGCTCCCAGTGATGGAGACCTCCCCTCCCCTCCCTCTCCAAGTAGCCTGTTCCAGCGCTCAACCAGCCATGTAGATCTTATAAAGACTTTTCTAACTAGCAAGTCTCCAGATTACAATGGAAGCCGGTTACCTCCATGTCCACTAAGGAGAGGACAAGACCAAACCCTCCAAATTCACTTGAATCTGATCTTGAAAAATTTGCCCACTCCGCTATAAATCTACAGCGGGGGCAAATATATGGGTTACATTAAGAGTTACAAAGTCTGTACATCACTGCATGGTGTAAAAATCCCTTACCCCAAATCCCCACAAACAGGTCCCTGGAGATTATCCCATCACTGCCCTAGCACGACTGCCCAGGGCTGTGGGCATGTTAAGCAACTGCCCATTTTGGGCACTCGCCTCCCATGGCAGCCCTCCCCTTTGACTCATAAAATACAAGGTTGCATCATAATAGGGGCTTTGCATTTTGATGTCCCAATCCAGCTGCCCCCTTAATCAAGGGACTTTGTCTAGGCTGGAAAATAATTTAGGATTCGGGGCTGCAACCAATGCAGGCCTGGATCAGGAGAAGAAGCAAAGCACAGAGATGTCATATCAAAGCATCTACATGATGACCTGAGAGAATGAGTGGTCCAAAATTACAAGAGGAGATGGAGGAGTTTTTACTCTCCAATGGCTACCAGCTGGGAAAGACCATTGGGGAGGGAACATACTCAAAGGTGAAAGAGGCCTTCTCAAGAAAGCACCAGCAGAAAGTGGCAGTTAAAATTATTGATAAAAAGGAAGGTCCAGAAGGTAAGAGGCCTCTCATGGAGAGGGCCACAGGCTAGACAGTTGGGGAAGTGGTCACTATCTACAAGTTTGTTACTCCCGATTGAAAATATAATTCAGCTTCCCCCAAGTGAATGGGTATTTAAAAACCAAAACACACAACTAAGAGGACAAGTTCCTAAGGGAAGGCTGGTCCTTCCTGAGCTCCGCCAGGGTGGGGACTTCCCCTCTCACTAAGAGGCGAGTATTAATCTGTCCTTATCTTCCCAGCCCCTCTCAGCCTGAAATAGCCCAGTGGGTGGAGAAAGGGCTCATTTTCTTGGAGCAAATGGTTGCATTTGAAATGTCAACACCTTTTAAGCCATTCTCCAGTGAATGGTTGCCAGCCCTGGTCTCTGCACAGAGCTGCAGCATCCATGGGACGTGGTAGAGCACACATACCCCTATCTTAGCTTGTCTTCCTGGGCCTGGAATGAACCTGCCTTCTCTCTTCTCAGAGTTTATCCAGAGATTCCTGCCTCGAGAGCTCCAGATTGTCAAACGCTTGGATCACAAGAACATCATCCGCGTGTACGAAATGCTGGAGTCCGACAGGAAGATCTACTTGGTGATGGAGCTGGCAGAGGACGGGGACGTCTTTGACTGCATCCTGCACAAAGGCCCACTGCCCGAGAGCCGCACCAAGGCGCTCTTCCACCAGCTGGTGGAGGCGATCCGTTACTGCCATGCATGCGGTGTCGCGCACCGGGATCTCAAGTGCGAGAATGCCTTGCTGCAAGGCTTCAACTTAAAGCTGACAGATTTTGGGTTTGCCAAGCTGCTTCCCAAGAATCGGAAGGAGCTGAGCCAGACGTTCTGTGGCAGCACTGCCTATGCAGCGCCCGAAGTGCTCCAGGGGGTGCCTCACGACAGCCGCAAGGGGGACATCTGGAGCATGGGTGTCATCCTTTACGTTATGCTGTGCGCTGGCCTTCCCTTTGATGACACCAACATCCCCAAGATGCTGTGTCACCAGCAGAAAGGCATCTCCATTCCTGGGCACTTGGACATCTCAGAGGAATGTCAGGATCTCCTGAAAAGCCTCTTGGAGCCAGACATGATACTGAGACCTTCCATTGAAGAAGTCAGTTGGCACCCATGGCTGGTGAGCTCTTAATAACTCTCTCCCCAAATAAAGGGGACAGATGGCTTCCAAAATGCTGGCATAGTTTAATGGTATGCTTGGTTTCCAGTCTATCCTTACCTTCCCCTCCACACCCCCATGTCCCAGACACAGGATGGCTGGCCTCCAGAGGCAGAGGGAAAGTGGAGGGGCTGTTCCATTTCTCAGACCTCTCTCTCATCACATTTCATTCAAAACAAAACCACATGGCCTGAAACCCCTTCATGCCATTTGCTTTGTAGCTAGAAACAAGAGCATGTGAACCCAAGGGCCCTCGGTTCTCTCCCCAAGCACCTCACTGAAGCGAGGAGGCACAAGGCAGCATCTGCCCACCTCCCCAAGACCATTTCTAGTGATAGTCTCCAAGAAACAACCCACTGGACAGGACACGAGCAAACACTGAGTCAAGACCAGTAGCACTGGCTGCTCCATGGAGTAGTAGGTGCGCAGTAGATCTCTGAGCCAAGCAGATATTTATGTCCTTTCATCCTAATGGTCTTTTCTATGTCTTTTGAGTAAGGCAAGCTGCAAAATGGCACATTTCTTTTAGAAAGGACAGGTTGTAACAAAACCTGGACTGAATGCACCCAAACTTGGAAGCTAAAAACAGTCCCTGGTCTGGCTAGTCCTTGGACAGGAGACTACCTGGGAATGCTGTAGGCAGTCACTGCTAACCAAGTGGACAGTACGGCTCCCCTTCATCTAGGTTTATACCTGGATTAGGATGAAATCACTCAGCTGGGGCTCCACCAAGCCCACCTGCTTTTGAGGGGTCGGCCCCGTAGATAATAAATAAGACACCCAACACAGACAGCCAATTCTGTAGAATTCCTTTAATCGCTGTTAACTGCAAGTCTGTAAAAGGTTCAGGAGAAAGTTATCATTACAAAACTAACAGCTGTTAGGATCTCTTTTGCCCCAGCTAGAAAATGCTCCTGGGAGATGCAATATAATTTAAAAGAGAGAATATTGCACAAACAACCAAAAGGTTAATTAACTAAAGAAAGAATTACGAAGAGAAATGAAAGCACTGCCCCTTCTCCCAGCTCCTACCACGGGGCACAAGGTTCCAGCTGGGCACCTCAGTTTTAAAATTAGACTCGAGCATATACACAGGAATCTCCCCAGAGCACAGCACTATGCGCAGCTTATGTAGTTCTCAGATATTTCTAGACGGCTACTGGCCTCCTGGCTAGAGGCCCTGCTACAGAAACCCTCCAGCCACAATGGTGGACCTACTGGCAACAGGAATGTCTCCTGACTTAAAAGTTAAGACAGTTCCACATCCACGTAGAGGGAACCTAGCTGAATTTTCACTGCCTCCCCAAGATGCACCAATGTCAAGGACAGAGCTAGGCCACAGCAAAGACCCCGATGGGTCACTTTACACCAACAAGCTTTCCCCTGTCCCAGTGGGTGTTGCAGCCTACACAGGCTCTCAGACACGGATCTGGAAGACACTATCTCCAACCCACCTACAAGAGCTGTCACTGTTGTCTGAATCTCCCAGTTGGAAAATTGATGCTCCCAAGACCCAGAAGGCTTCTGTTATCTAGAAATAGAAGGAAACCCACAGCTTCAATTACGTGGCCCTAAAGAAGCAGAATGACCTAGAAATACCACGGATAAATCCAATACTCTGAAAGCCAGAGACAGTGGGGATGGTCCCTGCTCACTGAAGATAACTGTACTGGCCACATCCGCTAAGGAAGAGCATTTTGTGACAGATCAGAAGGAAACCGCCTCGTGGCCTAGAGGAAGGTCTGTCTAAAGCAGCCACTAGCAGTGGGGGAATGGGAGATGGAGCCTTAGCTGATAGGAATAAGGCCATTTTAACAACCTGTGGAGTTTGAGGAAAAAGCAGGAAGGGAAGGTTTGAGGCGGGGGGGATTCAAGCAGCAAAGAGAACAGAGACAGCAGTCAGCTTGTGCCACCAAGTCCCACCTGCTGCCAGACACCTTCCACCTCCCCTCTATTAAGAACAGGGGAAAATGGCAGGATGTGCTGACAAAGGCTGATATGGAAGTGGTGGACACTGGACCCAACAAGGTCTTTTACACGACTGAGCTGGGTGCTGACAGACGCTGACAAGGACAGGTTCTGCTTCTACCATGACCTAGGTCCACTGTCCACCTATAAAAACCCACAGGAATCAGGACTTTGCCAGATGAATTAAGGACAAATAAAAATTCCTGAAACCCAGCAGAGCAGAGGGAGGCAGCACAGTTGAGGAAGTCATGGAAAGGGCAAGGAGGAAGCAACTCCCCTCTGCTCTCCGTGAGAGGCCTCTGCCTCAGCAGGCAGAAATCTGGGTTTCCCTCTAAGAAGCTGCATCCAACAGAAGCAGAAGGAAGCACTGGGACTCCTGTCTTAACAGGAGGCTAGGCCAAGCGGAGGTGCAGAAAGGGACAGGGGCAGCAGTGAATTCCCTGTAGAGGGGCCTGGCTCCAGATCAAAGCCCCGCAGCCAAAAGCCTTTCCTCACAGCAGAAGGTGTAGTAGTACAAAGGGGTATCCCATGCAGCGCCTCCAGCCTCTGGCCAGCCGGGCGCGGGCGCCGGCGGGGGGGGGGGGGGGGGGGGGGGGTGATCTCTCGCAGGGGTTAGTTGGGCTGGGAGTCTAGAGCCTTTGAAGCTGCTGTATTGTAGGTTATACACATACACAAGCAGACAATCAGCAAACCAGCAGCTGAGAAGTACAGAATAATCCAGCCAGGTGTTCTAGTGTCCAGTTCAACCCTAGGGACCCACTGATGCCACCTGACCTGTCTCCAGCCCCCACGTCTTGCGGGGCAGTCACATTTGACCTTGCTGGTCTCTAGAACCTCTTGAGAGGCTGAGCCCCCTTCCCAAGCACCCCAAGTGAAATGCCTGCTGCCACCTCCTCCAGCATCTGAATGGGTCGTGAGTTTGAGCTACCCAAAAGATTTAGCAGGGATAAAACTCCTCCAGCCCAGAGCTGCAAACCCCAGCACAGTTACACATGAAAGGAATTGTCGGTCTGTGATTTAATTCACATCGGATGGTGGAAATGAGCCTGTGGCGTGCACACAGGAAGCAGCCTCCTTATTCCCAGTCCTCCCACTCTTCGTCTTCCATCTGTGAACAGGACAGAGAGCCATGAGTCAGCTTTGATACCACACCAGCCTCCCACTGGAAGCGCCAGACATAGGCCTGCCACTGCACTCACCTCCCCAGACACCTCCACCTTCGAGAGCGCCAGCTGCACCTCCTCTTCTGTCATGTCCAGGTCAAAGTCCTTTTCCCAGTCCTCGCTGATATCAGTGCTGGAGCCTGAAACCACAGAACCCTAGGATTAAGCCAAGGGCCAGCCCCCTGGAAGGCAAAGACACAAGCAGCCCAAGTCTCTGGGGGACTGAGTGATGTCTCACACACCATGTGCCAGGGTCACTACTTCCTCCAGTGGAAGCAAGTCTCATCAACCCAAGATCAGTCTATGCATCTCCCTGATGAATCAGATTCCTCCACAAGCTTGGTTAGGGTGAGGGGAGAGGGAGAAAGGGTGGGTAGAGGTGTCAAAGAAAAAGCTCTTCCTTTCCTCAGCAGCCCTCACTACTCCCACTGAGGTGTTAGGTAAGGGTAGCACGTTCTCTCTGAAGCACGAGACCTTGGACTTCACTGAGCAGACTGAGACTTCTGGTGCTGGAATTGCAAGAGACAGCCCCTGCCAGGGCATCTGCAGGTACAGTGAAGTTCAAATCAACCTACTGCAACATCTGTGGGGTGCAGGAAT